GACCTCCAGGAGTACTCAGAGACTGTCACTGCCTACATCACCAAGTGTATTGATGATGTAACAGTCACAAAGACCATCACTGTCCGGGCCAACCAGAAAGGAGCGAGGTGAGCCACCCGGCCGGGTGGTGCAGTGACAACAATCTCTGTCTAAATGTGGAGAAGACGAAGGAGATTGTTGTTGACTTCAGGAGAGTGCGCACTCAGCATGCTCCTCTGTCCGTCAATCCAAGGGTCTGAGAGTAACGCAATTTCAATTCTCTGTGTGTATGTGCTGTACATGTGGAAGAATTGACAATAAAGCAGACTTGACTTGACTTGACTTGTTAAATTTCTTTTGGTAAAGCCAGAACAGCATGAACAATAGGTTGTGCCAGTACCCGCTCCATCCTATAGGTGGCAGTGATGAATGATGACAGTATAGCAGCTGTCATTTACAAGGCAGAGAACTAGAAGTGCGAGTCGATGAGGGTGTTATTGACATTTCCCGGGAGCCCTATAAACGTTTTTAACAGTGCTTTGGCAATATTGTCGGTAGCTTCAAATGCATGTTTTCAGCCAGACAGTTGAAAACACTGAACCGCCAGATTACTGTGCACTTCGGTTGATTTTGTGGAAGTGGCTGTAAGTACACTTTCGGCTTTTCTGGGTTGGGACAAGACAGCATACGAGGTCATTGATCGCAACAACTCGTTTTTCAGAACAGTTAGACTGTTTTCAGTTATTGCTACCATTTGCTGTTATTTCATGTATGTGGGTATTACGCTGATTTTTTTTTTTTTTTTCTTTTCTTTTTTAATAATGTACTTTGAGAGGGGTACACATTTGTCCACTGTAGTCCAGCATGTTTTTAGGGTTGTAATGAAAACAAATGGCAACTAGCAAAGCATATGTCCGTTATAACAATTAATTTACAACATGTATTACGAACTTGTAAAATAACATGCTATAATAATTTACTATCTCTCCCTGAAAATATTGCTGATTGTATCCGTATCTGAACCATACACAACCCCCAACCACACATGCACGTACACACGTCCTTTTTGTGAACGTGCAGTTTACCACATGTCCATTTTGCTCTAATTCCACAAAATATAGACAGTGGAGATAAAAATAAGTCTTAGAAGTATGCACAATATTATTATTATTTTTATCAGTTTTATTTTTGTAATATTTATATACATAGGAAGATATTCTTGTTAAAACGATCTTATTTTTTATTTTATATATATATATATATATATATATATATATATATTTATATA